GTTTATTTAATTTTTTAAGACTAAGAAATATTGAGAATTGTTTAAAAATATAAACGAAACATACACCTGATCGATAACATGCGCATTGGTATAACACATACCTAGAATAATATAACATATGCATAAATAAATTTTTTAGTTATTATCATTAATGTTTATTTTTATCTTATTAAAAATTTTTTAGTTATTATCATTAATGTTTATTTTTATCTTATTAAAAATCTATGTTGTTATAAGGGCATTATTAGAAAATTTATTAAAAATCTATGTTGTTATAAGGGCATTATTAGAAAATAAGATTTCATTCTCACTTGTGAACTAGTAATACCAAACATGGGAATGTGAATTAGATTTTCATTCTACCTTCATTCTACAAACGCACCCAAACAAGAGAATGGGAATGACCATTATATTATCACATACATTCCATTCCATTCCTTCTTTCATTCTAGTCTCACTTGACTTCATTCCCACGTACCAAATGAGGCGTAAGTGCTTTCTGAGGTGTAATATAGAATTGAGTGATTGAGAGATTTTTACGTTTTCTTCATTAAAATTTATTTATGTTTTTCTCCTCCTTTGGCTATGAACGTATGCTACAACTTGAACCATGTATATCCTTGTGTTATTTGTATTCTCAATATTTTTCTTTACTTTTTTGTGTGATTGATATGAGTTTATCCTAGGAATTTATTTGTCATAAAAGTATTACTTTAGGTTGAAGGTGAAAAAGCTCATATTCAGTTTGTGATGCCACAACATTAGCCCGAAAGAAGCTAAAAAAGTAATGATTTAGGCATTTGGTTTAAAAATACAATGTACACCTAACCATTTGAAAAAAAATATTGTAGCAAATATTTAAACCATTGTAACTTACTCCGTATATCAAACCACTAATAGGCAAATTGAATTTAGAAATAATTATTTTGAGTATTTTGGATCCAAGAGTGATTTTGAAAGTGGTTGGTTTAAAAACAAATGCAGATAAAAATTTGAGATTATAGGTTAAAACCCCTTTCCAGAGAGGACTATTTGCAAATATATTGGGTAAAGTTTGAGTTTATAGGGGAAAAACACATGTATAGGTCTTGATGCTAAGATATTAGTGTGACAAAAAGCCAAAACAAAATAGTTTAAACAGTTAATTACATAGTATACCTAACTACGTAAAAATTATACAACAAGTTATAGAAAAGTATAACAATTTATATGCCCTACCAAACCATTAACTATAAAGTGGACTTATAAATAAATTCATGGACTAGTTAGGGTCTAAAATTAATTTGGTAGTGGGGTGGATTTAAAAATGGGAAGGGTGAAACTTTGAATTTATCAGCAAATAATTTCTTTTTATGGAAGGGACGTGCATTCAAATAAATGGGGTAAAACTTAGAGTGAAATATTATAGGTCTAAAAGTGGATTTTAGGAATGAGTATGTTTAAAAATAAATGAAGGTAAACTTGGGGTTAATGTGGGTGGGTGTCAAAATAAATGAGGTTAAAGTTTGGGTTTATAAGTGAACAAACAAAAGTTCAAATTGCAACCTTCACTTTCATCTATACACTGAAGTTTTTGGAAGAAGCACTGTAGCTACTGTAGAAATCTACAGTAACCTCCGAGCCGAGGGTCCTGTAATTATACTAACTAGTGTGCATACCGTGCAAAGCACAACCCTCATTTTTTTATTTTTACTACAGTACTTTTGTTTTCAAATGTTTTCTAAGTACTATAGTAATATTATTTTAATCACGTTTGTGCTACAGTGATAGTGCTACAGTAATATTTATGAAACACTACAGTTCCTATATATGCTACTGTAATAATGCTACAATAATCTGCTATATTATTTTTTATAGCATAAATAATAAATCTTTGGATCCCTCTTTTATTATTATAGAGGAATAGATTATAAAAGTAAATAAATTCTGCTTGCATTGTTCTTGGATGCGCTTCGCATAAAAATTTCGAGAAAGGTCCCTCAGTTTTGTACTTACTTTGTTACTCTCGCAGTCGTGGGTCACAGGATGTTGTGGGGTCATTGGCAATAGAAAATTGGGAAGGACTACTGATTACCATGTAAAAAGCATGGGTACGGATTTTTTAAAAGGGTTATTTAGCATTAGTCCATGAAATCTCTATGAATTCAATTTTAGTCCCTCAAACCTCAGTAATTATCCATTAGTCCGTCAATTCCTAAAGGGGCTTGCAATTTCTCTTAGTTCTGATTTTTCTCTTCAAACCCATTTTTTTTTAAATAAAAAAGTCTTTTGAGCTTTGGTACTCTAAAGTTTATATCTTTTTAACTTTATCACCCTACAGATTTTGATATTTTGATACATTAAAGTTTACACCTTTTTAACTTTGAAACTTAAAGTTTTTTCCTGACAATTCTGTTACATTGATGTTTATATCTTTTTCACTTTATTTACGTGCTATTTGGTATATTTTCTTAGTGGTTAGAAGTATGATGTGTTTTTGAATCAAATACTTAAAACATTATTTATTGTGATTTTTTCAAGCTAATGCCGCGGCATAGCGCAGGCTAATTTTGCTTGTTTAGTCTGAAAGTTGTAACCATCTGAGCTATTTAACTTTTGAGAATATTTTGCAAAAAAACTTACTCATAATAACGGTCACTGTGGCTAAGAACTACCCATTTCCTTTTTAAATTTAGTATATAGTATATAGTATAATGTTTATTATTTGTTAATTGTAAGTACCCATCTCTTTTACAGAAATGACCTCCTTTGCTTTGTAAATAACCAACTTTTTTTAAGAACAATGGTGAGTTATAAAATAAAATCTCATCAATAGTTTCATTTTTAACCCATGATTGATTACAAATTTACAATGTATAGTGTCCATCTTCAACACCATAAATGACACACGTAAAAAAACAAAAGAAATACTTTCATACTATTAATTTTTTTCTCTTCGCATGATGCTTATCCGTAGCCTGTCTATGAACTTTTAGATTTAGCAATTTCATTTTAATTTTAAACACAATATTTAATTTCATCTCATGTTTTGTTCCATCTAAAATCTCATTGGCATGTGCAAGGGATTTTAAGGAAATTCCTCCCAATCGTTAATTAGTAGACTAAAGTAATTTTTCCTTTAAAGAAAGATGTTCTCCACTTTGAAAATATTATTTGAAACTCCATAATCATCTTTAGCTTAATTATAAACATATCATTGAGAGAAGTCATGCTAACTTAATTGGGCAGCCACATTAAACGAATGATAAAGATGGGAGTTGCAACGAACATGAAATAATTTATACGCACTGTAAATTAGAAGAAAAAAATTATGACACTTTGTTTCTTGCTAAAACCTCACTATATTAAACATATTCCAATTATAAATAAACTAGTTAACGAAGAGACTAACAGAAAATGAAATTTTAAGCTAAACTAGCTCGTTTGTCATTTGAGTTGCAGAGAAAATATTAGTATGTTACCCTTACTTCTTTTGTGAGAAATAGTGATTATGTGATTGGATGAAATATTTTCAAATAATATCTGGGCTCAAATCTGTGCATGTAGTTTAACAAATGATTCAATTTCAGACCAAATAAAAAACTTCTGCTTGAGGTGATTATTGTCGGGACTCCTGGAATATGTGTTAGTAAAACTTTTTTTTTTTGAAGGAAAATAAACAGGGTGAGCTACCATGTTCATATATGCATTAAAAGGAAAATAGGGAATATACAAAAACTAAAAGTATCACTGCTGAACTGTCAACTATATGAAAACAAACCAAAAGAAAAACCATCACAAAAGAAAAAACAAACGAAACACAAGAGGAGAGAAAGTGAAAACAGAGATGGAGATTGTCTGAAACACTGCAGAAACTCTTAGATCAATGGTCCGCCGAGAAATTATCTCCGACAGCATCATGCGCACCAGTTTTTACAATTTCTTCCAGCCCCAAGTTGATGGCAGCCTTGTGAAGTCTATTGGAAACTCTATTGGCTGATGTTCCTGTCCAAAAAATATATATCTTGCTACATTAGAAGCTAGTTGCTGATTGTTGACTTGAATATCATTAAAAATGAGGTTATTGCGGTTGTTCCATATCCACCAACAAAAACAATGGAGCATGACTTTACAGAGAACTTTAAGGTTGTAACTGAAACATGTATTGTTTTTGATAGAGATGAAAAGATCCAGATTCTGAGGCCATTGGTCTATAGGCACTTGAGGGAGAAGAATAGTCCACACTGATGATGAAAATGGACAAATGATGAACAGATGATCATGCGACTCAATGCTTTGATTGCATAAGGGACAACTAGTGTCTCCGTTCCATCCTTTATTGGCTAGGTTCTCTCTAGTTTGCAGCTTCTGTTTGTTGAGGATCCAAAAAAAGACCTTGACTTTGAGGGGGATAGGAGGTTTCCAAATGAAGTTGTAAAGAGGGGAGGTCATGCCTGTGAAGTCGGTGGTAGAATAGAATGATTTGATTGAATAAACTCGAGTGGTGAGACCACCAAATGCTATCGTGGATAGTGGTTCCTGCAAGTAAGAAAGACTCCAAGTGAAAAAGAAGAGCCGTGATATCAGATCTGTCCTCTTGAGTGATCCCTCTTCTGAGGATAGGATGCGAGTTCCATGAGTTTTAGAGAATGTGTTAGTAAAACTTATTTTCACCAAATTATAATTTTGTTGTTTAGATCTTCTTTTGCCTAGGTTGACTGCTTCTTTGTAGGAGCTTGTAGGGCTATGAACCCCTCTTCCAAAATAATAAAAATAAAAAATTAATATAAAATTCCTTTTTTTTTATTTTTATTTTTTTTTGTGCTTAATAAAAGGAGAAACTTAGGCGGTTGGGGTAGTAAACCGCTTAGATTGACCCATTTATTGCTGTGAGACCCAAAAAACTTTAATAATTACAATCCAAACCCATTCGCCACTTCCTCTCTCTCAATCAAATCCATGGCGGAGCCCGTCGACTGGACGCAATGGGAGGTCGCTGTATGCGCGCTCATCGTGCGGTTGCGGTCATATTCAGATCCGACCCGGATCCGATAAGGTCTTCGGATCTATGGAAACCCTGCTGGAAGCGGGTGCACCCGCTTTGGCTACTCGCTTACAGAGCCATGGTTTGCGCTGTAATGTCCTACCTCTTGATCGAGATGGTTGTTTATCGAGGAGCCAGCACTTTCTATTTCTATACTCAGTGAGAATTTCCTCTCGAAATATATATTTTTTTGGTTAATTTTGTGGGCTTGATGAAAAATTTCAAGTTATTGTGTGATTTTAGAGGTCGTAGTTCTTCAATTTGGTCCAATTTTTTGATGGGGTTGTGAAGGATTATTGGATATTAGCTATCTTGCAATTTTGATGAACTGCGACAAAAAAATATATGGAATAATCTGGAAAAATCAATATCAATTTGGGATAGGAGAAAATTAGCAGTTGATGTCAAAGGTGTAATTTTGATGATCGTGGCTTTCGAACTGGCGCAAGTTTGATGGATTGATGGGAAATTATTTTTTCTTGGAATTGAATTTTGGTAGAATGCATTGAAAAAAATGTGATTTTCTTACTTGGGTCTGATTATTTTGCTGGTTATGTCATTTGCAGGTGGACTTTTACACTAGTCATCATCTATTTTTTGGTATGTTTGTGCGATTTTCTCGTTTAAAAATGCATGCAAGTAAATGATGCATTTATGCTAATGCATGGAATTTATCGTCATAGATCGCAACCTTAATATCGGCTCATGGTTGCTGGACTTATTCAAGAAGATATGTCATTGAGAACGAGGAGGTGGCTAGAAGACTTTTGGAGAGGGATTTTGAAGCAAACCTACCTGAGGTGTTGATATCAAGGACTAATGAAAATGGTAACTCAGTCAAATTGCAGAATTATCACGAGCAAGGAGAAAATGAGCAAATGGCTGGGTTTTGGGGGTACACGATGCAAATTGTTTATCAAGTACGCATTTTCTAATTTTTTTTCTTCTGTTCTAGCGGGTAATGGATCTTATCAGTGGTTTATTCATCGTATACGATTACTCTTGCCTGTTTAATTTGATGTTGTTGTCGTACTTTAATTTTGGTTAGTTGCTGATAGACCCTCCTGTACAGTGTACTATTGGCAATTGCCCAGCTGCGGATAGACCCCGTGTAGTTCTACTGGGAACAAATTTTCACTGTAGACCCAAATGAGTTTTTAATTACCAAAATCGACCGTTTTTTTTTAATTACCAAAATCGACCCGTTTTATGCTACGTAGGCTTAATCCCGTTTCCTAATTAGTCGGGGTTGCCAACCCCAACTGTTTAGGGTATTACAAATTGGGTTTTAAGGCTTCTAATTGGGTTTAACAACTTCTAAACAGTCGGGGTTGGCAACCCCGACTAATTAGGAAACGGGATTAAGCCTACGTGGCATAAAACGGGTCGATTTTGATAATTAAAAAAAACAGTCGATTTTGGTAATTAAAAGTTCATTTGGGTCTACAGTGAAAATTTGTTCTACTGGTGCAAATAGACCGCCTTGAGTGAATTTTTCTTAACTCTTAAAGATTAAATTGTTTTTTAACAGGTAGACCTCCTGAGGGTTAAAAAAGTAATATAAAAAACCTTTCAGGGAGTCTATCCGCAATTGGTTATAGTACAGGGGATCTATTTGCAACAATGGAACTACATGGGGTCTATGCGCAATCGGGTGACGGGTGGGGCTATCTGCAATTACCCCTTTAGTTTTTAATGGTATCTGTATCAGTTATTTTTTGATTCAGTCACAAGTATAATGTAGTAATGCATAAATGAGATGGTTTATTTTTTGAACAGGCTAGTGGAGGTGCCTCTATATTGACGGACTTAACTTTTTGGTTTCTTTTAGTACCATTTGCGGATCCTGAGTATCTCAGTATTAATCCTGTAAGTACTATTCTTGGACGATATTATAACCGACCTCAAATTTTTTTTTTTTTTGCCTTTGTTCCTTTAAGCCTTTATATATCTTACTTCTACACTGGGCTGCATATTGTTGATTGTTTCTCGCAAGTATAATGCAAACTACTCTCTCTCATAGTTGGCATTCCATCTTTTATGAAATAAAGAAATAACTTACTGTGAAGGTCAAAGTCGTAAGAATTTCTTTTAGTACTTTGCACACATCATAACGGCAAATAGAATGTATATAATGTATTCAATGCTTTCATCAAATGATGCCGAGGGCTAATCATGTTCCTCTTCATTCTTCTCATGAAAAGCCTTTTGATACAGTTCTAAACTCTAATAACAGGCTAACTATATTTCGAATGGCACATTTTCATCTCTTCGTAACGTATAATTGTCAAATGCAGTAGTTTAAGAGCTTTGGGAGGTCCACGACTAGCTGGAAGCAAGTTGATGAGGAGTTAAAACTGCAATAGGAATAGTCATAAGTATTGTCAGAAATTAGTACCAGCATAGGTAACATCCAGAGCTTAAATTAAGGTTTGAAATCTCAGTACTTGGTCATTATTTTAGTTTTACCTTTACTGGTGTTAAGAGTTGACGGTTCCAATTTGGAATTATCGGTACATGGCACAAATAAGAGTTTAATCCTTTCTTTTCTTTTCTTAGTTTTTTCTTCGTAGTAATTGTTTTCAGATTCTTTTTGTGAAATGGCTCTTTATCGGCAGGTAAGAGGAAGCTTCCATAGCCTCAATGTGGTGTTTCTTCTACTTGACACTGCCCTCAACAGACAGGTACTTGTAATTATTCACTGAAGAAAGTAATCTGTAGTATGTTGGTACTTTTATCTCATATGAGATTAAACTGAAATTAAACTGAATGTAAATTCGGTTCGTATTTCAGCAATTTCCATTTTTCCGGGTGGCATATTTTATTCTGTGGACCTTCGCGTATCTAACTTTCCAGTGGATCCTTCATGCTTGCGGCTTGCAACAGTAAGAATCTAGTTGTTATGTAGAATTTTCTATTTCTTGAATCTGGAATTTTTATAGTCTTTCATTAAAACTCAAGACGGTTCTGATTAATTTCTAATATAATTATCAGCATAGCCCTATATTCCTTAAAATGTACTCATTCTTCGGGACAAATTATAATTGTGAACTAGAAAGTGTATGGTATATGATGATTGAGGAAGTTCTCTCGATTGCTATTTCTATCGGCAGAGAGAATCTGAATCCCTTTGTTTCAACTTAATATGTAAATTTTTGTGTTGCTTCTGTAGGTGGCCGTATCCTTTTCTTGATCTGAATACTCCGTCGGCACCTTTGTGGTAAGAAACAGCTACTCGCTCGTTTCCTTAAGGGTTAATTGCAGAGATACCCCCTTAAACTATTTTCTTAGCACTGACACCCAATGACCTTCAGATGAGATTTTTTTTTTTTAATCCCGCTTGGCTGAGAATTACCATTTTGCCAAAAAGGCTGAACTTTTCCTCTAAATTGTCGGACAGAAAAGCAAAGTCATCCAAGACTCAACTGTGTGTAAGCGTCAATAAAATAGTTTATGGGGTGCAACTGGCTAAACCGGGGGTGAACCTGCAGTTAACTTTTCATTTTTGTTTATATGGCATAAAATTCTGATGTGATTTAAATTTACAGGTATTTTTCCATGGGGTTGTTCCACATCCCTTGCTATGGCATGTACAGTTTGATAGTGAAGGCGAAGAACTCAGCTTGTAGTAAATTCTTTCCACAGTCCTACGCGACTTCTTGTTAGCAAGTTAGGGATGAAACTGCAATTTTCTCAACAGGGAAAGTGTAGAATTGTATTACAGGCGTTAACAATGATAAGTTTATGTTTGTTAGCATCTAGTTTTTGAATTTTCTTTTCTTTTCGCTCTCTCCCCATTGAAGTTTGTGTTGGATAGCAGATTCCTAATATGTTTCCTAATTTGTTTTGGTAACAGATTATTGGGATTCCTAATCTGTTTTGGTAACAGGATTCTAAATCTGTTTTGGTAACAGATTATTAGGATTTCTAATCTGTTTTGTTTTTTGTTTTAAAATTCCTAGTATGTTTTTAGTTTTAGGATTTCTATATATATGGAAGGATTGGAAGAGAGAATTGAACAGCGAATCGGGGATATTTGGAGCACAGAAAAGAGGTATTTTCTGAGCTATTGGTTAGAGTTTTGTTTGGAAAGATTTAGAACTTTATTGGTGAGATTAATTGGTGAGTTTGTGTGATTTTGTAATCTCAGTTTGTACTCTTCTTCTCTATTAGTGAAAACCATATCTCCTTCTTGCCTCGTGAACGTAAGCAACTTGTCGAACCATGTTAAAATTGGTTGTTTGTGTTTGTGCTGTTATTTTGATTGTGTTTGGCCTTCTCTCGGCGTTTGTTTGATTTAGTCTCTCGAAGCACATCGGTTTGGTTTTGGCTTCCGCCGCGCACAATAAGTGGTATCAGAGCTCGGGCTACGCTTGGGCTATTTGAAAGAGTAGATCGTTTTGGAGGCTCATCTAGGGCTTCGTTTGGTGATAAAGACGGGATTTTTTTGGTAAAGACACTATCTTTTTTAATTTTGGATTTATTCTTTGTTTTTTCCGCTTTTGTTTGTTGGTGTTTTGAGAAAGATGATCAAGAAAGGAGGAGTTGTGGAGGATACTTCCAGCGTGAAGATCGTCCAAAGTATGAATAGGTGTGGAGAAGTTTAATATCACAAATAATTTTGGTCTTTGGAGATGTGAAGTCTTGGATGCGCTCAATGCGTAAAATTTAGAGGATACTTTGGAGTTGGATGGGAAACCGGACGACATTGAGGAGAATGTTTGGAAGAAGATGAATCGAACGACGTGTGGTGTGATTAGATCTTATTTAACTCAAGATTTAAAATATGATGTGATCAATGAGACTTCGGCTAAGAAGATTTGGGAGATCCTAAAGGGTAAGTATTTGATAAAGAGTGTAGAAAACCATTTGCATTTGAAAAGGATGCTTTATCGTTTTCCAATTGAAGAAAGAAACCTCCATTTATGATCACATGAACCACTACACGAAGCTTCTTGCGGATTTTTGGCGAATATAGATGTGATGATTGAAGATGAGGACAAGACGTTGTTATTGTTGAGTTCTTTGCCCGACGAGAAATATGAGGCATTCGTTCTTATTCTTATTAATGGGAAGGCATCTCTTTCGTATAGTGAGGTCACCGTTGTACTTGTAAATTATGAGTTTTGAAAGAATGATAAGGAAACTTCAGTTGAGCCGATAGCGGGAGTATTGGTCGCAAGAGCAAAGAATCCAAACCAAAATAGGAGGTAGCAGTCTGGAGGAGCATATCCTATAGTTCGTAGGAATCAGTGTGTCTTTTATAAAAATAATAGACATTGGAAAGCCAAATACCCAAAGTTGGTTGATCGAGCTGGGAAGAATAAGAGAAAAGTTATTCAAGCTTCAGAGGTGAATGTTGTCAAGGCTAGTGACGACAATTCAGATTCGGATTCTTCGGGCTATTCATTAGCACTATCGTCAATTTGTGTTGCTGATTCTATAAAGTGGATGTTAGATTCGGATGCTTCTTATCATATTTGTCCTAGGAGGGATTGGTTCTCCAGCTTTCAAGAGTTGGAAAGATGGGATGTCATGTTCATGGGTAATGATCATGAATGCCCTATTGGTGGTATCAGTATCGTTCGTATTAGGATGTATAACGGGGTGATTCGGGAGTTGGATGAAGTGATGTTCGTTCCTCAGTTGAAAAAGAACATCATTTCACTTGGAGTTTTAGAGACAACAGGCTATCGGGTGATCTTAGAGAATGCATCTTTGAATATCATATTTGGGTCCATGATTGTGGGCGTCAGGAGGATGAATTTGTACTATTTGATTGGAAGCACGGTGTTTGATAGAGAGCTGACGACTTCTTTGGATTTGGCTAGACTGTGGTCTTTGTTGAGGCTGAGATATTTGATTGGTTATACCGTATATGGTTTGTTAAGGAGTGTTTTGACATGTAGATTGAAGTCCTTTGAGCACATTAGGATGAGTAGGAAGACCAAGGTGGAGTTTGACACTTCTATCCATCGACCGAGGAGTCTTTTAGGTGGTGTTCATTCAGGCATTTGGGGGCCTTTCAAGGAGGCATCATTGGGAGGTAATCGATATTTGGTTTCCGTAGTTAGTGATTGTTCTAGGTATTTGTGGGTTGTAACCAAGTCCAGTTGGTATAAAGTCCTATAAGTCAACAACAGATGGAGAAAGTGTATTGGCAGAAAGATAACCCGTCGTTCTAGTTCTGGTAAGGGCCATTTCTTACGTTTGTGCAGAGCTCATAGCAGTTGGAGACACTTCATTATAGAGGAAACATTGGGACAACGAGATTAGATGACATTTTTGATTGGTCGTTCCTTTCTAGAGGAGGATCGACGTTTGATGTCGAGCATTGGTTTTGGTGTTCGGGTTTTGACATATTTGGGTTATCTTGTTCATAGGTTACCAACTGCTGCGTTTGGAGATTTTGGGTTGCGTCGGATGTTTAGTTGCCCAGCATTTGGTCACATCGAGAATGTGAGATTTGATCCGATTACATATTTTGGATTCAGATGCTCGTTTGGTTATTAGTTGGGACACTCTGATTTTGTTCTGAGCAGGTATGTCACATTCGACTCTCAGAAGGTGAATAGTATTGATCAGATCGTTGGGATATCGTAGCGGGTGGAGAATGATGCTACTCCACGTTGGGTGGAGATTACTCCACATACTCTAAATCATACTGCATTGTTTGGGATTCCAGCTGAGGTGACACAATTTGAGGAGCATTTGGATTTGGATGCAGATGATGAGTTGGTTTTGGATTCGAGTGCAGCTGGTGGACATAGTTCGCATTTGGTTATGGTCGTTGGGTCATCTCAGGTGGAGGTGTTTAGATTGTTTTACTTTAGGGGCCATTAAGAGAGCTATCAGCCGCAGATTTGTTGATGATGTTGGAGAAGGGTTGCGAACTCTTCTGGTTGATTGAGGGCTTTTGGAGGCCGTTGGGTGAACTACGTGAAAGTTTGATTCCTTGGGCAAGAGGATACGTAGATAGTCATTTATGATGCAGTCAGTTTGGTGAGTTGATACCAATATTTGGAGTTTGTTCGTATTCTAGTTTGGGTTCTTGACTTGTTGTAGATTGAGTCCGTTGTCGTGGATTTGTTCTACTTCGTACTGGACGTAACAAGTGAGACGTTTGGTTGGTATTGGTGTCGGCTTAGTTTTGGGAAAACTTCGCCGAGGTGGAGAATTATTGGATCACAGGTTCCTAATATGTTTCCTAATTTGTTTTAGTAATTGGTTATTGAGATTTCTAATCTGTTTTGGTAATAAGATTCTAAATTTGTTTTGGTAACAGGTTATTAGGATTCCCAATTAGTAAGAAGATAACAATTGAAAAGAACAAGAGGAAAAATTGTACGTCCCGTTTCAGGCGCGCGCCTTGTATTATCTCAAAATGTGCGTTGCAAAAAAAAATATTACCTCAAAATGTGCATTGTAAAATTGTTTTGATGTCGTGCGATGATTTCAAAAGTTTTCATGCGTCGTCTCAAAATGAACCAAATTATTGTGGGTTATGTGAGATTTGCCCTTTTATTTATTAATTTATTTATTTAGAATTTTTTAAAGCTTTTCCGTGTATGTCGTACGCCACCTATGTATCCAATCATAGACGAGATTTACCTTTCTTTTTTTAGTTAGTCAAGTATCACGGAATTTATTAATTAAAAAAAGTCTATGTAGTAATAGAAAATGGTTAATTTTAGAATACCCCACCTTAACTACGGGGGTCCTCTCAACGTATAAGAAGTTATGGAGATTGCAATGGCAACAAATTATCTCAGGTTAAGAAAGAGGGGTTAAAAAGAAGTATTAATGTACTTAACTCATTCGATAATTTAAAAGACTAAATTATTAACACATTAAATAAGTTTTATTCTAGTCCTTGTGATCAGTTTTAGTGTTTGGAAATAACAATGACTTTGACTATTTTTTTATAATTAGAATGATTAACTCTTAATCATTCTAAATAGGAGTATTAGTAAACCCCTCATTTTGAGGGGTTAACTCATTTTAATCCATCTAGAGGGGTTAGCTTAACCCTTCTATATTTTTTATGTTTAGCAAATTATGAAGGGTTAACTCACTTTAACCCTTGTATAGATTTTTCGTGATTGGCGGGTTAAGAATGGGTTAAGTCTCATTAACCCCTTACTTAACCCTTTGTCAAACGGTACCTAAGAAAGTCGCATAACAAGCATAGTAAATTAATATCCAACACTCTCCCTCACGTTCTGTTTAGTCTCCACCTATATCTCAATTACAACGTGTGTTGCCTATTTGGATTCACAGTTATCATAATGTATGTAACTATTGGATGAAGCTTTATGCACACATATGCTCACCTTTTGCATGATAGGTAACAAGCGGATCATGAGAGTTCTATTTTGATGAGAAAGTAAATTAAAAAAAATGGATCAGGTTATTGTCATTACAACCATAGCATAGTCATCTATATGAATAATCTCTTGTTCTCTCTTGTTACAAGTAAAGTTTAACAAACCAACAATAAATCGAGAAAAAACAATATTTAACAATGCAATAAAAAAAGTTGAAGAACATGGTAGAGCAAAATCAAGATATTGATGTCGTGCATCTAGATGTGAGGAGTCCGATTTAATTATATATGATCGAGTATTCCAAGTTGTAGAAGTTGTCGGGTCATAAAAACATGGTGGATATGCAAGTGAAAATGGGATGAAAATTATAGTATGCAAAGTTTGAAGATGGTGTGAAAAGATGGAGATTGTGAATGCACTGTGAATCGTCTCAATTGCAATAAGCGATTTGCTTTATGCTCAATACGGTGGAAATGTTTAACGCGCAACGTGAATTACGATGTTTAATATGTTAGATAAAAGTCAAATAAAATCACGTTATAGCAT